AATGTGCCTACGACGGCAATGCCAAATAATACAAATAACAATATAATAATGTGCCTACGACGGCTGAGGCCCGTCGGCCTTTAACACAATGAAACAAATATGGTCGACCTATACTCACATGTGATGACTGTAATTGGTGGCGGATTTTATCCCGACGCGACCGCACCAGAACTATGACTACAATTGCCTTAGACGGCACACCGCAGTGTTTAAAATTATACAAATAAAAATGTCACAGTCTGGTACGTGCGACCACCGAATCACAATCACCAACGAAGACAGCAACAAAACGTGAATTTAACGAAAACTAACAAAAATGAATTTCGGTGTGCACACCACGAAGACAGAAAAACAAGAGCGAGATGGGTCCGACGACATTCACCACGAAGGCTAAGGCCGCCGGACACCACAATGAAGATAAAATGCCCCAGTGCCACCACACAAAATAGAAAAACACTCGAAATTAATGAACTTTGTGGCACTGAGAGCATGATTTGAAACTTTTACAAAACATAACCGACAATTTTTTGAAAACGTGGAATAACAATCATTAACGTGCGACGATAACAGCGCGATAACGTATCCGGCCGGTCGCACACGGAGGCTTATCACCGCCGCCGACGAGGGCCGCGAATACGCAACGCATCGCACGAAAATGATGACATGAACAAATTTTACACAAACAATATATACAGCGCGAACAATTATAACAATATGCACAAGCATTCATTAACGTAAATGTAATTGTTCGAACACGGAACAAGTTACGATATCTTTATGGATACTCTCCCCTCCCGCGGTCCCGCTCATGTGTTTCGGCCGTAAGCTTAGCTGTTGACCGCTGAGCCTTTTTGTCTTTTTCGAGCAGTGTAACCGAACGTAACGTACGCGCTCCGGTTCTCCGCGTCTGGACATTTGTGAGGATTTTGGCTTTTCCTTGATCCACGGAGGATATACGTGAAATTGTCCGGCGAGACCTCCATATTGGTGAAACCCAGGTAACATCTCAATAGCCGTGCAGTCGCATCCAGGTCACCATTTTTATTATTTAGCCCCACGTGGTCAGTGGGCCGATCAAAGCGGGTTTTATTATTGTATATTATATATTATTGATATTAATTAGATCTTACGATTAAGTTTTATTTGGGTGCCCGCTAATTTATTATTTATTATAAAAATATACGTGTTTCCGACATAAAGAGTTAAGTAGTTAACCCTCCTGCACTTCCGTCCTCAACAAAAAAAAAAACGCAAGTCGTTGCCGACAACCGCTATATTTGTAGGATCGGTAGCGGCGCAACCAGTAATATTTTTCATATGGGAATCAATATTTCAACATTTCTAGGAAGTATAAATGACATCGCATAGTATTTTTGAAGTTGTGTGGAGTCTATAATGACTTATATATATAATGTCTTAAACTTCGACAACAAGTAAGGATCCGTGAATTTTGTTACTCAGTCGAAAGACTAAGTACAACGGTATTATTAAGGAAAAACGAAAATAAATAAGTTACTCACTTACTCACTTCTTACTTTTGTCGCGTCTCGTGTGGTCACATATTATAAAACACATTATAAGAGGTTCTCACGAATATCAAAACCATACTTGTGGATAAATTAAATTATTTAATTAGGTCACATAAACATTATATGGGAAATTAAGATAACAAATGAATAATCGAAACGACAGTGACCACATCCTGTATCCCTACATCAATAATTATGTAACACACATGCAGAATCAATAAGAAATCATCATATTTTATTATCATTAATATATACACACACACACTTGCATATATCAGATATAAAAGGGGGTCCCGAACAGGCCTTATTCAGACGAGTTTTGGCTATGCTGTACTGAGCACCTTCACGTCAGTGTATGTTATGGTCTGGACTTAGAAATATTTCAAACTATTTTTATAAGTTACAATTGTTAGGACTTAAATAATTTCTACTTAGAATATTTACAGAGTTGTAGTTAGGATAATTTTATGAGTTAAATTAATTTAATTATTTTAAAAAGTCTTAATTATTCCTGACTACACCTACAACCAAGCGTTGACTGAGACGTTGGAACTGAATCATCAGATCGATCGGTTGGCACGTAACACTTTTTTCAAACGTCGTTCAATTGTATTCACTATTCAGTATAGTAGTAGTATAAAACTACATATGACCTACCATTAATACCGTAAGTCTGTAAATAGAGCAAATTTGAAAAAACTGTGAATTAACGGTCAATTACTTAAATTACAATAAAATAATGTATTTAGAGAAGTGTAATAAATTCATAAACACAAAATTCTCAATGATAAAGATTCTCATTTTTGATGATAATTGATACCTATGTTTATTTTATATGTCACTAATTATGTTATTATTATCAAAAAATATAATTATCATTCAAATGAAACAGTATAACATTTTAAACAAAGAAATAATTTTATAATATCATTTTTAGAAATTTTATGCCGCCGTTTTTCGATTCCAGTCCTTATCATTTTTCGGACAACTGTCCCCAACTCCTATTAAGAGTTAAGTTTATTTTTTTTGAGGTTAGAATTCTAATCAAAAATGTTTTTTATCAGCTATAATTCTTATCTGATGCAACAACTACCCTCATCCCTCATTGATCGTAAACACTACTATTTACCGTTAGTGGTATTCAGCAATTCAAACTTACCGTCATTTCTGATAATTCTCAGATCACTAGTTCCAACTTTCATCATTTGTAATCATTGACTATAATTTAATTTGAAAATTAATCAGTCGGTCATACTCTATAACAACTGTTCTTACGTTTTAATTCAGATTATTATTATTTTATGATCATAAGGCATATCTATTTGCGTCACTTGGCACAAGTCGTTTTTGTATACATGTGGTGTCATTCAACGCTGAACTTTGCCAAAACGCATTTTGTTATCATTAAAAAAAATGTAATTAATTAATCAATATAGTAAAGCATTTAACCGCCAACTGTCAAGTTAAAGCAAGTTTTCTGAAGCTGGAATTGTATTAATTATTTATCAATTTACGTCATCAGTCAATTCACTACCCACAACAATAATATGGACGCAATTCCTTCGGAGGTATGTAAAACATTGCAGTGGCGGTTATAAGGGGAGGGGAGCAATAGGTGGATCGTCCTCCCTTGAGATTTGATTTTTTTAAATTTAGTATATTGTTGGCCCAACTACACATATCTACAAATTTTTTGAACCTACTTTTTAGTACCAACTTCTATTTCTTAGCTTATGATTTTCATAATATTACTATAGAATTATTTTCATTATAAATATGCCTTAGTCTCGCATAATTTAATGTTTTTAACTAATTGCTTGATTAATATTTTTTTACTTTAATTGTTTTAATGCTATATATTGCTACTATGCTTGCAATTTGTTTTATTTATTTAGATTGAAGATATAGTTGAGATTAACAACTAGTGAAGACCAATTAAATGGGCTAGTACTGCTTCATATCCGTAGAGCTGGGATTCCCAATCACTGTGCCACGGCACTCAAGTGTGCCTCGAAATTATTCAGGTGTGCCGTATAATTTTTGTAATTTTATAATTTTTTAAGTATAACTAAATGTAATAATCAAAATTATAATTTATATTTATGATAGCATTGACTTTGAAATTCCCATGAAAATAAAAAATGATAAAACAGCTATAATATTATATAGGATCCGATACTACCCGATACGGGTATTAAAAACAGTTGCGTTGACTTTTACCACATACTATAATGACTAAATAAAAACATAACCGATGCTCATCATAATGAAAATTGAGCACGTGTAATTGTTACACATTATACTATATAGATATTTTGATCAAGAAATATTGTTAATTACATTTAAAAATGGATAGATTTTTAAAAAAGTGTAAATTAACAGATGGCAGTGATGTTAATGCAAATTACAACAATTTAAATATTGAAATTAATATTAAACAATCAGCTTTAATAAGCGATAAAAGTTCAAATTTAAATGTTAAACATAAATATGTTGATAGTTATTTATGTTTTGGATTTACCTGGAATTGTGATATTGATTGTCTTTTAATAGTTTGTATCGTTTCAACTGTTTCACCCCTAATAGAGGAATTATGTAAAAAACATCAATCTCAAATGGCACATTAAATTTATGTTATATATATTATATTATTTTATAATATATATAATTATGACATTATGTACATTCATTATTATTTATTTAAGTGTGTCGTGGACATTTTTTAAAATGATCAAGTGTGCTGGTAAGTTAAAAAGGTTTGGAATCCCTGCTGTAGAGACATAATTAATGCTATTTTAGATAATATATTTTTACGCTTTGCTAAGCAAAAAAAATGGATATGCTCTAATTAAAATAATTATAATAATAGCATATGCCTTTTTTAAATAAATAATTATTATTATAAGATACCCTTTAAAGGTTAATTAATTTATATCTTTTTTAATACATTTATATTAAAGTACCTATGTTAATATAATTAATATGTAAAGATTATTCTGTGTGTATATTTTATATTATGTATTTATATAAGTACTATGGGGTGGAGGAGGGTTGGCTTTATTTTTTCCTCCCCTTGAATACCATGTATAACTGCCACTGAGACATTGTACAGACTAAAACTATAACTTATTATAAAATTACTAATTGTTATACTGGATTTTCAGATTCTTAGTGAAATATTTAAATACTTATCATTTAGCGAACGACAACAAATGGCTTTAGTCAACACTAAATGGTATTATGCATCTATACATCCAGAATTTGCACGTAATGAAGTGTTTGGCTACAATGAAAATGCAGAAAAATTAGATTTAACGCTTGGGGATGATGGTTTACCCTCTGATTTACCAATTTTTAATGAATTCAAAAGCATGTTATTGAATTCAAAAAGAAAATTTTTCAACTTAACATTTGATGGTTCACTTTATGTTTATCGAGTATTTCCAATTTTCAAAAATTTAGCTGATTATATTGTGTCTGTACATATAAATAATCTTGCTCGACATACTGATATGTTACTTGATGCTATTTTAGATTGTGACAAACTTGAACAATTGGAGTTTAAGGGGGTAGGGGATTTAACTTATGGTAATACAACTCGCCAACAAATACTCAGCTTAAAACGGATTTATTTTGAAGGAGCTAATTTGACTGATTTTTGTTTCAACAATATTATGCGATGTGCTCCAAATTTAGAGGAGTTAGGATTTGAAAATTGCAATATATTAATTTGGCACCAAGCTATAAGAAGGTTTTACCCGAACTACAAAGATTCTAAAAAAAAACAAACTTTTAATTCTTTGGATATATTTTCATATGTAAATATTGTAAATTATTTGGAGACCGCTAAAAATATAAAAACATTAAGGCTTGGCAATAATTATCATATTTTTTTAAATCTACCAATACATATCAAATTAGTATCTTTGGAATTAAATTTTAAGAATCTATGCTTTACAAGAGATTATGCTAAAGTTGGTGATAAATTGTCAACAATGAGTACCTTGGAATATTTAGATCTTATACATTTTCCATGTTGTGTATTAGCATCATGTGTTCCTAAACTGTGTAATCTCAAGCGATTAAATGCACATTACTTCCTTTGTGGCTACCAAGATGAATGCTTCAGCAAAGTATTAAATTCATTAAAGAATAAAAAGAACCTAAAAGAATTGATGATGGTCTCATTAGAAGATTCAGTACCATTAGAAATACCAGATTGTACACTAGAAAAATTAACAACTTACATAGGTTTAACTAATGTTTTTAAAATAACAAGAATGAGCCAAAATCTTACAAGATTAAAAATTTTAAATGGCGACATTCTAACAGCCTGTGATTATAAACTGATATTCAAAAACCTCATTGGATTACAAAAATTGATCATCGACCATTGTTTTCAATTGGATGATAATGTGTTTTCTGATTTACCGATAAATAATCTTAAAGGTAATGGTTCTTACGACAATATTAAAAAAAAAAAAAAAATTAACTTGTATTTTATATTTTTATCTAGCACTGAATACCTTGCATCTTTTCCATACAAAATTAACATATCAGTGTTTCAAGTATATTAATAACAAAGAGTTGAGAAAAGTATGGATTACAGACGTTTCAATAGAAAAATGTATTGAATTGGTAATAAAGTATTATTTAATATTAGTTAAGATTACATTAACCATGATTTATTTAAAATGTATTTCCTTTAAAATGTAAAGACTTATAATGTATTTAAATTCTCATTTTATTTTTATAATAATTATAAGCTAAATTAAAAAAAAAAATTTTTAGTATTATTATATAAAAAATAAAAATAATTAAGCATCAGTTAACTTTGATTAGATTATCTTAAACCATACCTAAATAATATGATTTCATCATAAAATAATAAATCCAGAAAAATCGATATACTCATATTTGCAGTAGACATTATTTCAAATTTTTTGAATTTAAAAATCAGAAGTTTTTCATCATTGTTCATAATGCATTAAATAAAATATTATAATGAACATCATTTGTCATATCTATACATCTAGTAGGTACCTATATTAAATATGGAAAAATTTCTATATTTCTATTTTTTATTTCTGTGGTTATTATAATGGGTGGGGCGATAGATTCACCTCTTCCTTTTAGGATTTAGTTTTTTTAAATTATATATATTGCTGTTCCAACAACACCTATCTGCAAATTTATATAATTATTATAAGATAAATTTTATGTCAATAGATTTATATCTTTTTATTTTTTTTATAAATTTCCGATAAAGTGTGTTAATATTATTAATATATAAACATTATTATACATTTATACCTATAATTTGTATGTCTATTTTATATTATATATGTATGTATATAAATACTTAGGGAGAGGAGGGTTGGCTTTATTTTCGCCCCCTCCTTAAACATCATGTATAACTACCACTGTGTTATATGTGTAGTTAGATTTTCATACAACAGAGGATTTTTTTTTTCTTGAATATAATAACTAAAATAAAATAATTAATCAAAAAAGAACTTAAATTTATTTTAGCTACTATATTTTATTAGATATGATTTGATTAATTTAATTAAATTTATTAAAAAATAAAAATAATAATTGTAAAGTAGGTGAAACAGTAGGTTTTTTTTTTAAATAAATGAATAAAATATAAAGACTTAAATATTGTATTTGTGTGGGATTACTTTTTATCTTGACAAGTAATAACAAATTAAACATACAAATAGATCATAATGAAATATAATAAAGTTAATTTTTGTTAAAAGTGGTATATTACAATAAAATAATTACCTAGTCAAGATAAAAAATTTTTAAATTAATGTAGTTACTGATATGTTTAGTTTATTAAATAATATTCTTAACTTTTATATAATATTTATTACTATTTTTTGTTACAGAACGATATGTCTGACTTTAAAAATGTATTAAAAGCGTTTAGTGGTTTTGTTCCTGAATTAACTACATTAAATATTGACATTTTAAAAGAAAACCGCAGTTGCCAAGACATAGAAGTATTTAGTGAAATACCAATGTTGATCAGTACAGTTTATAATAATTTTAAAAAAATGAAAATTTGTTCTATAAATTGAACTAGTTAAAACTATGAATGATTATTACTTAAATAAGAAAACTATATTTTCTTTATGATTTATGTAATAATTAGGGCCTGCATTTATATGTTCTATAAACCATTGACAATTTTTTTTTAGAAAAAAACTTAATGCTTATATAGTTTAATAAAAAAAAAACTGTCATTATAATAATTTCCATTGAAACAAATGTTGTACTTTGAAAACATTGTATAGAATCACACAAAACATGATACACTATGCATTGGAATCCAGGCTCCAGTAATTATATTTTATTTATACGAATTGAATATATTGTATTCATTTATATATATATAAATAATAATATGTCTAATTAATTTAGATAATAGATGATTTTTAACATTAATAATTGTAGATTTATCTAAAATAAGTTAATCATACAATTATCAATGTATAAATATAGCTGTAAATAAAAATAAATGTAAAAAGTGCATTAGTCTTATTAAAAAAATGAACTATTTATGTTAAATATTTATTTTATGTATTAATATATTGTACTAGTAAAATAAAGAATTTTTAATTCATAAAAGTCGCTAATCTGAAGTGAATGACTATTGATAGCTTTTCCACACGAATTTTCACATGATCCGACTAATATGTATTCTTGAAATATTTCCGCTTACACATGCGTTCGGTTATGTGGTAAAATTCTGCGTGATACATCCGAATGAGAGTAGGGCATTCGGAAACATATTTCTGTGTATGAATAAACATAATATAACATATTTATTTATTTATCTATTTATTTAATAATTTATTTTTTATTTATTAAATATTTATTTAGTAGTTATATTTTTATTACGTTAATTGATTCAAATACCTATAATTTTCTATTGTTTACTGTACCTATATACTTAATTCAGTAATGTGATTGAGCTAGGATTAATTATTTTTGTTTATTAATTATGTATAGCAAATTAAAATATAGGAAGGTAAGTAACAAAATATTTGATGAAAATTTGAGCGTTATCTGTGTAAGGCTGTATCTGGAGGGGGGGTCCAGGGTATCTGGAGCCCCTGAAATGTCTTCATTATTTTACGAATGTTTAAAATACTTATATATTTTTAATACCAACAAATATTTTCAGTCAAAAATGACTTAAACTCCAATTAATCATTGACTGCTTTAAATTTTATATCATAATATCATATTTTCATATGATATTAATTTTAATAAAAGAAAATTAAATCTTTTTCTGTCTTATTTTTAATCAAATATCAAAAGTTAAAATCTTAAATCATTAAAATTACAATGTACATGTTTTGGACCCCTCCAGAAAAATTTTTTTAGATACGGTCTTGTATGTACTATTTTATTCTCACATTACTATCAAGTCTGAAATTGAAATATATACTAATAACTATAATAATAAATAGATGCTTTGTAATACATTGCTATTTAATGATAATAAATACAAGTTTTAATTAAAAACAATTATAAGTTAGTTATATTTTTTTTTCTTTCCTAATTTTTAATTATATCCTAAATATAATTAAAAATTAACAAAAGCATTATTGAAAATTAGTATTGTAGGCAATAGATTTAGCAGTTGATAAAAGTAGTTTTACTGGTGAAACCGAGCCATGTATGAAAACAACAGAATTGGAATTGAATTCTATGAGTCACACATAAATGAAAAATATAGCATTCATGGTTACATTGGTACGATGTGGAAATGGCAAAAGTATTGTAGTAAATATAGGAGAAAAATCAGAGTTTGGTGAACTTTTCAAATTGATGTTTTGAATCATGGGGGTTTTGGTATTACGAGGACTTTGTTTTACAACATCTTTATCTACAGGTTCTACTACAAGGCTAAAAATATATTTAATATGCTATAAAAAAAAAAGCAATAGATTACAAGAAACAAGTATGAATCAATTACCTCTGAACAGGTGGTCCATCCATAATTATATTCATTTATAATATTTGCATAGCATTTAGAGGATTAGGTATTGTAAAAATGGTTGCTAGGGCAATTAAAGATAATGCAGCAATATTAGTACTAAGTTGAAATTTGACAAAATTCTTAATGTTAAAAAGTATTCCTTTTCCTTCTTCAATAGCAGCTACAATTGTTTGAAAATCATCATCAACTAGTATCGTGTCTGATGCTTCTTTGCACATAGTTCCATTTATATCCATAGCTATGCTAATATCAGCTTTTTTAATGCTCCACTATCATTAATTCCATCACCTGTCATACCAACCACATTTCCATTTGCCTGTAAAGCCTAATATTTATAGATACATGAATATATATATATAGGTAAAATATAATTTTTAATTCATAAAAAAATTGAATGAATTATAACAATTATGTAAAATTTTAAGAAGATTAAATAAATTAAAGAATAAAGTACATTGATTATTGTTAATTTGTGACGAGCAGTAACATGGTAAAAATAGATACATTGTTTGCCATGGATCTTAGTTGATGATCCGACATATTATCAATTTGTAATAATAAAATGATAAATTATAATTTTTTAACGCTTACATCATCATATTTATTTATGCATTTTACAGCCATAAGTTTTTGTTCGGAACTAAATGGATATTCTTGATGTTTTATATATTTGTCACTGACACCATAAATTTTATTCTAAAATTAATAATTAAAATTGCTATAAGAATACCAACACATAAAACAAATTTATACAAATTAAAAATACCTTCATAGCTACTACTAAAAGAACTCCTTCAGGTTGCCCTTGCAATGTATCTCCATTGAATATCCAAAAAAATGTACAATACTATTGTATATTTCATCGAAATAAAGAAAACGGCTGATTTTATTTTTTATTTTTGTATATTTATTATGAACGTTTTTTTAATTTCAGTTTTGAAGTTTGAGTTATAACACTTACTTTGATTTTGGATTTACCACATACAACATTTTAAAATTATATGCATTTTTTAACCTGATATCGCATAATACGCTACTTGGCGATTTTAATGCATTTCATCCCGCTTGGGGCTCTGAACTTGCATCCCGCAGTGGTTCTCAGATCTATGATTGCATCAATTTATTAGGACTTTGTTCTCTCAACGATGGTAGTCCTACACATGTGGGTCGCTTCAACTCAACCAACTCGGCAATTGACTAATCTTTTTATTCCCCTGATATCATCTGGTATCTATCTTGGCAAGTCCTCGACGATCCTCACAGTAGCGACCATATCCCCATTATCATAACAGCTAATTTCAACAGGACCACCGATCCTGTGCCATCTAGTTCCGCCTTGGATTCTTCATCTTCAATTCACTTACCTTTCAATTTCATTAAAGCTAATTGGTCATCGTAATCTCTCCAAATTCAGAACTCTATCTCTTCACTTACAAATTCTACTTCACCAATTTTTTCCCATTCTACCTTTACTAATATCATTAACATCTCCGCCGATTCTAATATTCCGAAGAAAAGATTAAATACTAACCTTTATCCACCCTCTCCTCCTTGGTGGAATTCTGACTGTTCTGAAGCTGTCGAAAACAGAACCCAATTTTTCAGGAACTTTCGTCGCTCAGGCTCCATGATCGACTTTATTAATTATCGCAACGCTTGTGCCCAAACCACCAGGCTATTAAAAAATGAAAAGAGGAAAAAAATGGAAAAAAGTTTGTTCAAATCTAAATCCATCCTTCCCCATACATCACTTTTGGTCAACAGCTAAGCGCTATCAAAATTGCATCAACCCTGTCAGTCACTCAGATAATGACGATTGGTTCAACTCTTTTTGTTCTATAGTCGCTCCGTGCTATGTCCCTTCTATATCAGAGTATTGCCCTCCTGATCACTCTCAAAACTCTCCATCTCATGTTCTCACTAATGTTTTTAATATGTCAGAATTAAATTTAGCAATATCTTCACGGAAATTTACCGCGTCTGGTCTTGATAACATATCACCTACTATGCTAAAACACCTCCTTTTAAATGCTCTGGCTTACCTTTTATCTATTATGAACAATATTTTATCATACGATCCTCCTTCATGGACATCTTATCGTGTCATCCCTATCTCCAAACCTAATTCTAATGATTCTTTTCATCCCATTGCTCTCTCTTCTTCTTTTTGCAAAATTTTTGAATATATACTGAAAACAAGACTCGATTGGTGGCTGAAATCCAACTCTGTTTTACCTGCAAACTTGTTTGCTCTTAGGGAGAGATTGGATACAATGGAATACCTCTCGAATTTTATCGGTAATATTTACCATTCTTTTAACAATAAGGAATTCCTAGTCACCACATTGTAGATATTCACGGCGCCTTCGATTTCGTGAACATACCTACCCTCATCACCTATCTTCTTTCATTAAATGTACCCACTAAATTCTGTAACGTTCTGTCCGCTCTCTTCAATTTCAGAAAACTTGTTTTCTCCTCTCCCTTCGGATCGTCAAATACTCGATCCACTTTTACTGGCTTTCCTCATGGTAGCTGCCTTAGTCCAATTTTATTCAATGTATATATGAATATTGTTAAAAAGCATGTTTCTCAGTCCGGTCATAAATGTCTTATATACGCTGATGAATTAGTTATATTCTTTTCTAATAAACATCTTAATCTCGCCATTGATAGCCTCAACCTGCCCTGTTGGATCTAAATGATATCCTAATCAAAGTGTCTTTCGTTGATGCCCCTGATAAATGTGAATCGATCATATTCACTCGTTGTAGATATTTAAACAATTTTAATACATATCATAACAATTTTGTTATCCCCTTTGTAACCAGTATTACCTATTTAGGCATCACACTCGACCTCAAATTGCGCTGGATTCCACATATTTCATCTGTCACCGCTTTTGCTTTTCAACGGTCAAACTTTCTCCGATCTGTAACTGGTACTTGGTGGAGCTCTCACCCTTCAAGTCTATTATCTATAAATTTGTCTATTATACATTCCAAACTTGATTACGGTTGCTTCCTTTTTGGGTCTGCTTCCTTTTCTAATTAGAAAAAATTAATAAACTCCAAACCTCATGCATCAGAACCATTATGGGTTACGTTAGTTCTACTACTTGCTCTGCTATGGAAGTTGAATCTACTTGCCCACCATTTAATATCAGATGCCGCTGACTTGCCAGTAAATTTCTCCTAAAATCATTATCCTTTAAACTTGGCCTTAATGATTCTCCATTTTGCACACTTCGCCTAAATTAATGTATCTGCTTCTTATCCCCTATTCTATTTGACTGCCCTGCCCTTTAAACCAAACGCATTATTTTAGTTAACCTACTTAAAATTCTTTATATCCCCCTTAATATCTACTCCATACTCAATACAAAATCCACTACCGCCATAAAATCACTAATTTCCTTTATATTGGATGCTGGTCATGTTATATAATATTAATATGTAAAGTATTATGTTGTATTATGTATAATTTGTAATTGCTGAGCTATCATAGTTAAATACTAATAGCTAATAAAAGAAAAAGAAAAGACTACTCGTATATTATGAATTAAGATACAGTCATCCTCACTTGTTTTATTCACCAAGTTAATATTAAATTATAATTATACGTAGGTATATTTATATTTTATTGTTTGCAAATGAAAAATTTTAAAAATATAATAAAAATTAATTTATATATTTAATTTATTTTAATTAATTTATATTAAAATATCCTTGAACATCGGAAATAAAGCAAACATCGAAATTAAAACATCGGTAAACGTGACACATCGATGAATAATATCGAAAATTATACATCGATGTTGAATATCGATTTTTTTTAGCTTAAACCATTGATGTTTTTTTGACATCCCTAACTACTTCTGGAAGGAGTTTTCATATAAGGAGTCACCATCAGTGTTGTGCTTTAGATAAATTTATATATTTTTATAATATAATTTATATTTATATATTATATATTTATACATATAATTTATATTTATAAATTTATCTAGATGTGTTATTTAAATAAAAACTTCATATCGTTATCTTATCTAGATAAAAAATAAAATTGACATCTAATTTTCATCTAGATAAAAATCATAGCCATCTAGATTAATTTATCTAGATAATTCACAAAATATGTGCCTAATAGTTAGTAATAACTAATCTACAATTTTATTTGTATATTTACTTGCAAAAATTGGTTCTAAAATAGTTTTAAATAGAATTTATTATTAATTATGAACAATGACAATTTATTATGTATATAGACATATATTACCTACATAATATGCATGGGAGGTGAGAATTATTTATAATTTCATAGTATGGCCCATACGGAGAAGTCTCATGCTCATATTACTATTGTTCTGTGGTATTACGAACGCCGAAAAAAGCATTTACAAGAATATTAGAACCAGAGATAACGCACCATAGGTCTAAACTAGTTATTATTGCAGCTGCGTGGTAGATGGTTTATAAATACTAAAATACAGAAATAATTGTCGATAAGAAAATAGCAATATTACAATACGCATTACGCTGTACCTACACAGAAGTTCATCGTTTTCCATCATCATTCGACCGCCTTAAATTCAATATTTATATATAAATTATGTCCATTGTTCATGTAATCATGTGCTCTAAATAATTGTCATTACCGGACCTCAATTCTATGAATCCGTACTTTGATGTGTCTACATAATATTATTGTACAACAAAATAAATATTAGGCGTGAAACGTCCGTTAGGTATTTATTAAAAACTTGAACTGTATGCAGCGCACTCTCATCCACAACGTGTTCAGTGTTTATCGTCAGACCGTCTTCATATTTTTCATAATTTTGTCTATGACTTTCAATTTTATTTTATTAATGAAATATTTTATATTTTGAAATGGATCGTTACATAATACAATCATTACCCAAGACCAAAAGAGTTCGCCTACAAACGGATGAAAATGTTGATGCCTTATATAAATATCTAGGTAAAAATTATTTTATCTATCTATATCTAAATAAATTCAATTTCTACAGTATCTATCTATATTTAGATATTTTTTTTTTATCTAAGCACAACACTGGACACTATATCAATCACTTTTTTCTCAAAATCTTATGATAATCGGTACAAAACAATAAACTGATGATCAGATAGATTTATTACATATTCATGTAATTATTAGAAAAAAAAATTAAATATTAAAATAAGTATTATTATTTAGAATTAAAAAATAATTATTAAAATAAATGACTAATGCATATATATTTATCGTTTCTAGATATTGCATTATATGTATTCCCAAATATAAAAAAAGTTTAATATATCAAAATCAAACACTAAATGTTTCGTCTATATGTTAAGTCTAGGTTTTGAAATATAACTCATATCAGATGCAGACCATCAGCTGTTATTAGAATAACTAGGTATGTAATATTATGTTATGGTATAATTTTCTTTATATTTTGTTTTTTTATCGAATAAAAGTAAAAAAAAAAAACAATCTTAATCACGCTTTCTATAGAAAATCATCCTCATAGAGTGATGCATTTTGATGGAAATATTGTGTTTGTATTCATTATTTTCCATTTATTAATTTTATTTTAGAAGGTAGGCACAGTTTCATAAAATACTTAGTCGTACTAAACACTTCTGGTTAAATTCATATTTTTGTTCTTATTAGTATCTGGGAAAATAACTTGATACGTTTTTATTTCTACAATATATTTCTACAATTTCTGAATATCCATACTTAATATATAAGTTTTTGTAGTTATAACTATTTCAAAATATGTCTGTGAAAATGTACCTATAATATAATATTTCATAAATATTTATTTAATATCATATAATATTAATTTAATTAATTAATATCAGTGGCGTAGCCAGGATTTTTAAATGGGGGGGGGGCTAACCACTTTTTTGGATAAGTAAGGTAAGAGAGGATATGAGAATTCCCCCCACCATCTACCACCAAGTTTCTAAACGTAATTCAAG